CACGTTTAGTCAAAGGATCGGCTTCACTTGTCTCGTTTGACGAGTTGTTGTGTGGTGCTAAGAATGGCGATACGCAATGACGATTCCGACTACGATGCCGGTAAAACGTCTAGGAATGTACCACGTCCACGGTCCTACTCTGGAAATTATCATGCATACAATGTACTCCGGACTAAGTGTGTTCCTTTAAGTCTTTCTACAAATATTACAAAGTTGCGAAAACAAATTCAAACAGCCTCTATACAACGAAAGGAGACTGCGACTACACGAAAGACCACACCATTTTGGTCTTCATACCTTTTATTTGTCTTAGCTCGTTTATGCTAACTTAATGCCTGATAGCGTAATTACCTACAATGTCATAAGCAGGCCTCATAAAGCCACTTTTAAAAAATATATATATTCACCTTTCGATGTCTTTAACATGACATAAGAAAGCTCAGTACAAATTAATTAGTCATGGGACGGTGCACTAAAGAGTTATTGCGCACATTTTCTGTCGATTCCAAGTCAATTATCTTTCTAATTCCTTTAAGGCTAATTCATTCTTCCTTCCAATTGAAGTTAAAGTTACAACGTCTTACAATTTACCTTGCCTACACTTTTTATTTTCCCTATCACATGCGAATATGATACCTTCACATAAACTACTACTTTCAAACTCCGCACATTGAATAGATTTTTGGCCTATATCTGTCAACTTTCCTACGCCTGTGAGCACGCTTCCTCAGTAGATTACTGCCATTTGCGTTGCGGGGGTTGTCTGCTCTGCAACCAACACAAAAGAGCCAACAGCTTTAAGCCGGAGTCTTCTGGCTTTGATCGCCAACATCTTGCTGCTCATTCTGCAGCTACTAAGTTGACTGAACCAGTTCTTTCTGAATCGAAGGAGACCCCATTAGCCAACGGACCATCCCAGGCGCTGGAGCCTGTTCGGCGGCACCGTCAACTGGTCGAAATGAATGGGTTTGGATTACTCGGACATCTCTACGATCTTTCGACAGGAAACGCGATTGGATCTCGGTTTTCACGGATTGCACGGCACATTTTCGTTCGTTCTTGTCGTCCTTATCTTGCGTATGTGTTCGTCATGTTTTCTTTAACCTCATTCTAAGCAATTCTTCTAGAATCTAAGAAAAGTTTTATCTTAATTTAGTATTTGATAGCCGCCAAAGACTATATAAACGGGTATTTTAATCCCAAATTACAAGAGGGTTTCCTGTTTTGTTGTGATGTCTATAGCCTTGCTGATTCATACTTTATACCGCTTGTTCGACTTTTATAATTTCCTGCATGGCAATGAGTAGCTATTATCTTACATTTTCTATTAATCTAACAAATTTTCGCGGCATGCTTTCTTAACGCCGAATAATATCTAATCTCTATAGGCTATTTTTAAAAGTACTTGAATAACTCGCGTTTCAAATAGGCTCACTGAAGTCGGTCTATCAAATACTAATTACTGTTAACTGTTTTGTCTTTGCTAATGGTGACTAGCTTAACCTTCTCATGAGTACTCTTCAAGGGTGACCGCAAGGAGGATGCCCATCATAAATCAATTTCTCCTAATGGAATTTTAGTTTGGATGATGATGACTAGCAATACAAGGTTTGGATAGATCAAAATTTGTGCTAGAAAAGATCCAAAATCGGTAAAACGTCAGAACTTTGCTAACTGTTTCGTTAAATACGACTGATATTCGTAACGCTTATTGATATTCTTGTGATTACGAGAGGGATAACAACATTTCTTGAGCTTAATAAAGCAATATGAGAACTTGTGCAATTTGGATTGCTCGGGATAACAATACAGAGAGATCGAGAGAAGAAGCTATGGCGTGGCAGAGGGCATTACACCTACAGGACTTAGGGTCGCCTCCAAGGCAGTTAAACGATTGGCCTCAGTGAAAATTCATGGAGCTGAAAGAGTGAGGATGCTTTCGATTTTCTTTCTTTATTACATTTAATTAACAGGGGATTGAAAGGACAAATAGTTAACGATAACTTTGTTTATAATTTAGGAAAACTCGGAGAGAACCACTTATTAGCAAGATCAGTAAAATAGAACCTGCTTGTCCAAAGATCTGTCTGAGGCAAGAGAATAATTATTTTAAAGAAAAGACTCACTGGTGACATTCGGATATCAAGAGTGAACGGGAGTGTCCATGAGGTCAAATTAAGGAATTAAGAGCAAATTAAGGATGTGGATGCACAAAGAAATAGGGAACAGGGATGGTCACAATTGCATTGGAAGCTTGTCAGATCAATTATCAATTCACCAGACAGTGGAAGCAGACGTCAGAAACATTCGTTTTAAATTGACGCTTAGCACTTGAATGTCCATGAAATTACCAAACAAATGGGCATGATAAACTGAGGTGAGTGAGATCGCGATTAAGTTTGTCTGTTGTAGCAAATGGATTAATAATATGATTAAAAAAATTGGGAGACAAGCGAAAGTGAGAAAATCGCTTTCATACCAGTAGACCTAAAGCAATTAACGTTTGAGTTGGCATATCAGATAGGAATGAGCCAACTAATTATATAATTAATGGATTGTAAGGGGCTCTAAGGAGCATCTGCTAAAAGTTTATTGAATTAGGTTATCGAGTGTAAAGGGCGAAGTCTGATTAGCACACAGAGTGAAGATCAATGGAGGATGTGATTTCGCTATACCAAACTTGTTTAAAAGGACGTATTTTCACAACATCAGAACGTCTAAGGGGTAAAGATATAAGTTAGAGTTCGATAGCTCTATGTGAGAGGTAAATGTAATAAGATAAGTTATGAATCATAGTCGAAACGTCCTAGAAGATATGTGGAAAAACGGGGTTTCGAATAATCTCTTAATGGATTGATGTTGGAGTACCTTTTATTTATTTAGAAGTCTCGAATAGAAATAATTCGTAAATTTGTTCCATCAAAAGCTTTAGTCGAATTGCTTTAGAGCTGTGATTGTAGAATTGTGCAAGTAGGTACTCGGCACACCGTGTTGCGACCCAGATAAATCCTTGCTGAACTTTCGTCCTTCATGTGACGGACATTCTCAGAACAGGAAACCATACTTAACGACAATTCATTAGAAAGGTTTCCGGCCTCAAACCTACCTACTTCTTATAGTCCAATTTGGTTCACTTAGGCATCTTATGTTTTGGTTGGATATAGTATGCTTTGCCTAAGTGTTTGCTCTAAAGTTTAGTTAGGTGGCTGTGGATGACATCTGAAGGGACTGAGGATGGGTGCAATTGTGACCGAACAGCTGCATCCTTCACTAAACACGTATGCCTTTGATCCTGTAATTTTACCGCACGCGTGTTTTGTGAATGCATTGCTTTTGAAATGTGTGTGATGTGAGAGCCAAAGCCAGATTCGAGCCTAATCAAACTTCTTCCTTTAGCTCGGTGGTACTTTTTGTTCCCCCACCCTTATCTAATCCTATCCAACAGCCACACGTAGTTTCCTACATTAATTCCTTTTTTTAGGGTTTTGGGTGTTTTGTTGATTTATATCACCTCCCTAATCTTTAGCTTACTTGTATAGTCCCCATATCGAGCCAAGCGTTTGGCATTAGACCAATCTATTTGACGTCCTGCGCGTGCCATGTGTTCTGCCAATTCCGATTTTTGGACCCACAGACCCTAGCAGGCTGTTTTGTGTTCATATAATCGCATATGTATGGGCCTACATGTCTTTATTACATAGACGCAACCGCATGAACACAAAATCTTGTAACACTCCGATCTGGAGAGGGCCAGAGAAATTCTCGAAAGAAGACGATACAAAGGAAAGTGTTATTTTCTCTTTATAAATGGTCCATTAAAGATAAAATATGTACAACACATCTCTCGGTTGGTTAATATCATTATTGACCCTTTACTTAAATTCGGGCTCATTAGTATGTCCGCATGTTAGTCTAATGTGGAATGCAGAGCCCGTATGGCATAATCTACAGATATGTTAGTGTACATAGACTCAACGTCAAAACTTACCAGCAAATCACCACTGGATACCTCATGCTAATCGACTAAGTTACGATTCATAAGAATTCTTAGCTGAAACCTTCCACTTGCTTTAACTAGTTAGATATAAACCGTAATGTTTTATGCATCATGCTTCCCTTATTATTCACACTACTTCTAAGTGGCACCACATCTTTATGTATTTTGGGCAAACCATAGGCATTCGGAGGCCTAGCATCTCGTTTAATAAGAGTGTTCAGCTTCCACTTTTCCAATTTTTGTTTGTTACACACTGTCTAGACTTAATGGTTTATGTATGGTCCCTAATGATTACCTTGTATGTAGTAGTGTCATCCAAAGTCTGTAACATTTTTTCTACATGGCTCAACCTATCCTTATCTACCACTGATCCTCCTTTGTCTGCCCTCAACTCTATTTTGTCCTAATCATTTAGTTTCCTTATGATGTTTTCACCATCTTATTCCTGGGTATTATTTCTACATGGCTATCAATTAAAGGAACGTTTTGCAATCCAGTAGTTAGTGAGAAACTGATAAACCTCCAACGCAGCATTGGACGTTACCACAGAGTAAGTACTCTTTAAAGGCTTGAACTATGCTTTGCCAAACGGTAAGGATAATAGTGAGGAGATACTGGTGAGGCTCATAAGTTTTTACCACCATCTTCTAGAAGAGAATACAAGTGCTATTGGATTACGCGAAGTTCCTTTATTTGATGACCATGTAGAAATAATCGTTAGGAATAAGATAGTGAAAAACATCCTAAGGAGGATGGAGCTGTTCGGTCACGATTCGTCTGCAGCCCCTTCAGATGTTCGGGATTTTATTCCTTTGAAAGTGGATGATATTCTGTCAATCAGATGAGTATTAGGCCATTCTCTTCTTGATATAGATATTTAGGATATTTTTAAAATTTAAATAGGACATTATCC